TTTGAATTTTTTTTTTTTTTTTTTTTTATCGAAAACGTTAACCTTTCATTGATGATAAAAATGATACAAAATCAAGGTAAAATATCTTATATATTATGAAGAATATATAATAAAGACTTAGTGATAGAGTCGTTAGTCGGTTTTTGGTCTAACGCCGTTTTACGACCTTTTTGGTTTGCGAGTGGGTAGACCAAAAACCGACTAAAATGCGCTCACTGTACGTCCAATTCGTCTAAGTTCTCTATAGACTTATAAGAATTTCCAGTCGTGGGACTTAGAAGAATTTTCAGCTGTGGTACTTAGAAGAATTTCCACTGGTGGCACTTAGGAAAATTTTCAGTCATGGCACTTTGAAGAATTTTCAGTCTTTTCTCAGTTTCCCTCAGTTTCTGTTTTTTTGTGACTTTCAATTTTTTCCAAATTTTTAATACTTATAGAAGTCTACTTTATGAAACGTGCGACCGATTTTTCGATTTTATTCGCTTAATTCAAGTATTTTCGAGAATTCTTGTGTTCGTGCTGCTCAAAAATTTGGGATTCCATTGAATTTTAAGTGAAATTGAGGAGTTTATCATTTTTCCACCCTAGAAATGTAAAAATTGAAGAGTGGCGATCAATATTCATCGCATGAATGAAAAAATCGTAAATAATCAAATGGGTTTAGCTGTCATTTTTGGAGGTTTTTTTTTATTGGTTTGTTGAATATTTTTGACTGATTTTTACAATTTATAGAGTTGCATTTTACATTTTAATCAAGAAATCAATGGTGAGGGCTAATTTCAGGTCAATTATTCCATGGAAATTATGAAAATGGGGAAAATTTAAGTATTTTGGGGAATTTTTGTATTCGTGCTGCTAAAAAATTTTGAATTCCACTGAATGTTTAGTGAAATTGGGGAGTTCATTATTTTTCTCCCCTAAAAATGTAAAAATTAAAGAGTAATGATGAATTTTCATTGAATAAATGCATTCCAGGGGGGCTATTCTCACCAAAAATCCGTTTTTTCCACCGCTTTTTCGGAGGTGCGATTTTCGCCCGCCAAGGGGGTGACACNGGACTTAGAAGAATTTTCAGCTGTGGTACTTAGAAGAATTTCCACTGGTGGCACTTAGGAAAATTTTCAGTCATGGCACTTTGAAGAATTTTCAGTCTTTTCTCAGTTTCCCTCAGTTTCTGTTTTTTTGTGACTTTCAATTTTTTCCAAATTTTTAATACTTATAGAAGTCTACTTTATGAAACGTGCGACCGATTTTTCGATTTTATTCGCTTAATTCAAGTATTTTCGAGAATTCTTGTGTTCGTGCTGCTCAAAAATTTGGGATTCCATTGAATTTTAAGTGAAATTGAGGAGTTTATCATTTTTCCACCCTAGAAATGTAAAAATTGAAGAGTGGCGATCAATATTCATCGCATGAATGAAAAAATCGTAAATAATCAAATGGGTTTAGCTGTCATTTTTGGAGGTTTTTTTTTATTGGTTTGTTGAATATTTTTGACTGATTTTTACAATTTATAGAGTTGCATTTTACATTTTAATCAAGAAATCAATGGTGAGGGCTAATTTCAGGTCAATTATTCCATAGAAATTATGAAAATGGGGAAAATTTAAGTATTTTGGGGAATTTTTGTATTCGTGCTGCTAAAAAATTTTGAATTCCACTGAATGTTTAGTGAAATTGGGGAGTTCATTATTTTTCTCCCCTAAAAATGTAAAAATTAAAGAGTAATGATGAATTTTCATTGAATAAATGCATTCCAGGGGGGCTATTCTGACCAAAAATCCGTTTTTTCCACCGCTTTTTCGGAGGTGCGATTTTCGCCCGCCAAGGGGGTGACACGATACTAAATGACATAAATTGATGACTTAACGTTAACTTATCAATTTGTGTCATTTAAGGGGCGACACGCCTTCGGGGGAGAAAATCGCACCTCCGAAAAAGCGGTGGAAAAAGCAGATTTTTGGTGAGAATAGCCCCCCAGAGTTGAATGAGTGGGAAATTTCAAGAAAAACTGCTCAATAGTTCATATTTTTTCAAGTGATACTCTCAGAGATATTTTTGAAAAATAAAGTTTGAATAGTACGAAATAAATAATCTTATTTTTATTTGATTCTATTTTCAATGAAATTTGTTATAAGTTCCTGCAATTACTTGCAACTGGTCATTGCCCGGAGGTCTTTCGCTAAGTCTTTACATTTTGTCTACATAATAATTGATACTTATAAAGAAAAAAAATCAGTTTATATATTAATTTTTACTGGGTGAGGATAGAGAAAGTGAAGAACATTTTGACAACATTGAGTGTGGTTAAATATCTCAATTTATTCATCTTCCTTCTCATTTACACGTTCACTTATGAAAGATACATTGTCATGTTCCACATAGAAACAAACGCTGATTAAATTCTCTACTGTTACCAGGGCTCGTTCTTCTGACATTTCGCACCTCCACATATGTGGCACATTTATTATTTCAGATCCTAAACCTGCTGATACGTTTCCCGTCAGATTCATCAACTGAATGATTGCAAAATGCTGCCCTTCACGTAAACATTGGTTATTTGGACACCGACAATGACTCACTTTTACAAATTCTATAATTTTTCCAAAAGCTTTGCCGTTAACACCAGTGAATGAAATGAACGAAGAATTTGTGCGTTAATTTTTCCTGTATGAATCTGCTACATATAATAATTTGTCCTTCAACAATCGATGATAACGTCTTACAGCAACCGTATTTTCATCAATGCCTTGTCCGACCAATTGACTCATGTATTTTCGAGGAATGCCCTTGATATAAGTACCAATACTACAGCATTTTCCGAATGATTCAATGATTTTTAATTGTTTTTTTTATGCATGACAAAATGGAGTAATGGGCCAGGCGGTAATTTCGATAATTTCGAAAAGAATTTCAGCTACTGACAATGAGAATTAGCAATTTGGGATTCTAAATCAGTAGTACCATGAACCAACTTGACTAATTATCCATTAATATTTTCAAAAGAGAAACAGGAATTCACCCATAGAGGACCAAACTTGAGAACATCTTCAGGCAAGTGCAGTAATTGATGAACATTGATGCTATAGAAACGTATACCGTATAAAGTTTCAAATTTTTCCACAAACTCATGAAGGAGTTTCTTTGCTATCTCTACATCGATAATAGAAACTTTGTCAGAATTCAATAATGAAATAGCAGTTACTAATTGCATATAATGTTGGAAATATTGTCCAGGCATTATCAAAGATAGTATTATAGGAGAGTAGTAGAAAAACCAGCATTTCAACTCAGAAGCTTTCCATTGTTTATACTGCAGAATACTTTGAGGCATTCGATGAATGAACTTGGGAGGCTTTATTTTGAATAAATAATTATCAACAACGTATGCTACTGAGCGAAGTGAGAATGGACAAGAACTGTGAGCAGAGTTGAACCATAATTTTAACAATTTTTTTACAATGGCTTCGTAAACTGCATGCATGGAATCTATTCCTGTACCGCCAATATAGTCAGGCATGACTGAATCGAGAGAACTCAATCCTTTTATTCCCTTTACTGTTTTCGTATCAGCAATTAAATTATTCTTATTTTTCCTACTGAGTACCATATTTGCATGAATTCTTGTTTGCTTTAGTGTTCGCATAATCAAGTCTTTAACATATCGAAAAACTAATAAAGATTTTCCTGACGGTAGTTTTGTAGGTTTGGCTTGGCATTCACAGATCGGACAGCAATATTTTGCATTAAACTGACTAATATTTAAGAATAAACTCTTTGCTGGTAAATCACAAGTGCCACATAACACTACTGCACGTAAGGAAATTTTCATATTTTCTCTTGGAATTTTTACGTTAATACCGCGGTACAATTCTTCTAATTCATCGTGAAATGACTCCACCAACAAATTCGCAGCAGGTTTCTGTGACCCAAACCATAGACCAGCGAGAATAGTATTTTCTCGAAGTACACATTGATCATAGGGTAATTCGTTAATTCGTAAATAAAAAGGCCATATGGTAGTCTCCCTGGGATGCAAGCAGCCACTTAAGTTATGTGGCTATTAGGTGGCTGTTAGG